GGTTATCGCTTGTTGTGCCGCCCAGAGAGCTTGGGCCCAGCGTGGCGTTTCTCGAAGCTGCCTCCAATCTGGTTTTGGCTTTCTTCATTGCTTTGTTTCCGCGTCCAAGTTCCTCAGGATTGATCCAAGGGTAAGCGACTCGTTGAACGCCACCTTGTTTGGTTGATCGTTGCATGTACCCCGGCTTTTGGTCCCGAGCCGGAATCGGCTGCTCCATAGATCTTGATCTTTCTTTCGCCTGCGAGCATAGTTTCTGTAATTCTACGGACGTACCGCCGAGCACTACCGCCTCATCGAGGACCTGAATCGCGTCGTGGTATGCTCTGACACAGAGCAGAGCCGAAGCCATGACCAGGAAAGCCTGCTGCTGCAGCGATTTGGCAATGGAGACGTTACCGGCATCACATTGTCTAGTAACTCCTGTGTCTAATTTCCCAATAATGCCTGCCAGAGCAGCGCTGACCTTGCACGGTAAGCTCTCCTTGTCAAGGTCCCAATATACATCTTTGGTGTCGAAGACACCTAGAAAGGAGTCTAGCAGAAGACGGCCTTTGTACGCATCTGAAACCGCGAGCTCTCCGTAACCGAGCTCCCTAAAGTGACGACCCCGATCGATCCACATCTTTGGATTGTAAGGGTCCAGACGGATTCCCCGACAGTGCGCTATCAGGACCTTTCCCAGACGCGTCCGAAGGACCTCCTGCGACGGATTAGTCGTGGATTCGCGTGGCATACAAACTTGCACTACATCTTCAATCTGCGGAGGACCATCAATGCTAGTCTGTTTCCACTCGTGACCGAAGACAAAAGGCGCGTCCAGGAGCGCTCGAAGGTAAGCTTGCTCTCCGGGTTCCTTGGCAGCGATGTCGTCTACGCGGTCACGCGGATCAGCCGAGCTCTTCACCGGGTGGCCGAGAACGTACCTAGGTCGGCTCCTTCGTACATTCTGGCCGCCATCTCAGTTGACATGGCGAGCTGGTTGGAAAGAACCCCAACTATGACTCCGTCCGTCGAAGCAGGTGGAATCAGAGAATCTCAGGTGGGTTCGGGAAGGCTAGAGGAATCGGAACGTTAGTCAGCCATGCGGGACGACGAATCCGGCCTTGATGTACGAAAGTACACGGAAGGGATGGATGCGGGGTGGGTCAGTTTGGGAGGATGACCGACGACTCATGAACCCTACGGCTAGGATTCGAAATTCAAGAATCCATACATTTTGTACAAGTCGCCACGCGCAATACCCCTGAGTTGAATATCATCGCTTGTAGACGGCTTCAAATACTCCCACACGCATACATAGTACGAAGAATCGACAGCCACCCCTTCGCGTCTTGCTCGCGATCTCGCCTTTCTCAGACCCCCGTAGATCCCTCACGATATGATTCGTTCGCGTTGACTCGTGAGTCGTAACTCGCTCCCATCTCCCCAGTCACACGTCTGGAAAAGCGTGCGTGGACTTATCCTAATTACGGAACGCGAGATGAAAAACGTATTCGAGTGATCTTTAGGGAAGGAGTTCCTGCCCGGGTAGGTACCCGATGGACCCTGGGGATATTTGAGAGCAACCGGAGTCGCAGTTCTGTTGTTCGGTGGAGTCGGTATGATTGTGTCGAAAGATCGCCGGGCGTGAACAGCATCGTTGGATTTTAGATGCGAAAGCTGACGTATGAGACGGGGCGACTTATTAAGGTACATTGATCTAGTCATGAGTGTAATGTTTGATAATATATCTGTATTCATTTTGCAAATCAAACAATATTAACTTTGTAAGCGAATCATTTTTATCAATTTCTGAATGAAAAAACGTGTGCTGCATATTCTCGTAATTAAGAATCTAGCCCTACGAGTATCTTATCGGGTAGGTAGGTATATTACAGGTAGGGCTGAGTCTTTTTTGAAATCTGGCTGTGATTGCTGCGCGTGTCGCACCCACTCACGTGCTATCTCTAATTATTATAATAAAGCTGTTGGCAAATAATTAACCAGTGTTTTGGAACCTGGGGCCAATCTTCGCTCGTGTACATCCCAACTTTACAGAGCTATCATATTGATAGTAGAAGATATTTACTCTTGTTCTTCTCCTACGCATAAGACAGTGTAATAATGAGGTTGATATGAAAAGGAATTGATAGGGGCTTTCAAGCGCCTGTATTCGTTTTGAGTGGTAACCAAAATGTAGGGGTTTAATACAGTTTAGGGCGGCAGTGAGCGTATTGCGGCACTAACACGCCTAGAAAGAGAAGTCCAGCCGCCAGGGTTTGCTTTCCGTCTCCCACGGCGTGTGTGGGGTTTCCCGTTCTTGTCTCTTCCCCATTATTGTTTCAGCATGATAGCGGCGTCTTTCTAACACCTTTCTCATTCTCGCGTTGAGGCAAACCTTTGCTGTCATCTTAGAAATACTTGAGTAATTGATTGACGTTATCTCACCTACTGTCGCCCCATCCCTATCTTTCCAGAAGAACAAAAAACATCTCACCCACCCATTAACCATGGCACCCCACAGCACCTCCGATCCAACCCTGGATCCCTACTCCACCATTCTTTCCTATGGCTTCCAACCCTCCGCCACACAAACCAAGTCCCTCCACAATCCCGCCCTCCTCCACCGCTCCCTCGCTCACCGACCCGACACCGTAACCCACGCCTCAGGCATCCACCTCACCCTCTCCTCCGGCCGCACCATCATCGACGCCTGCGGCGGCGCCGCCGTCTCCTGCATCGGCCAGAACAACGACGAGGTCCTCGCCGCCGCCCTGCAGCAGATGCGAACCGTAAGCTACGTGCACACGGGCGCCTACACGACGTCCTCGGCCGAAGACCTCGCCTCCGTCATCCTCGACGTCGGCGCTCCGTACGGGCTCGAGAAGGCCTTCTTCGTCGGCAGCGGCAGCGAAGCCATGGACGCGGCGATGAAGCTCGCGCGGCAGTTCTTCTACGAGGGCGGACGGCCCGAGCGTAGGCATTTCGTGGCCAGGAGGCAGAGCTATCATGGCGCTACTCTCGGCGCCATGTCCCTGTCCAGTAATCTCGCGAGGAAGGTGCCGTATGAGCCGCTCTTGTTGAGTAACGTGAGCCATGTCGGCCCCGCGTATGCGTATCAGTATCAACGTGCAGAGGAGTCGGAGGAGCAGTATGTCATGCGCCTTGCTGAAGAATTGGATGGTGAGTTCCAGCGTCTGGGGCCTGAGACCGTCATCGCGTTCGTCGCCGAACCAATCGTCGGCGCAACGTCCGGATGCGTGCCTGCTCCCTCTGGCTATTTCCGCGCCGTGAGGGAGGTATGCGATAGGTATGGCGTTTTGCTGATTCTGGACGAGGTGATGTGCGGGATGGGCCGCTGCGGCTCTTATTTCGCTTTTGAGCAACAGGCCGTGGTGCCGGATATCATGACCATGGGTAAGGGATTAGGCGGCGGTTATGCGCCGATTGCTGGTGTGTTGGTTGGTCGGAAGGTGGTCAAGGGGTTGAGAGATGGGACGGGCATGTTCAATCATGGGCATACGTATCAAGCCCATCCATTGAGTTGCGCGAGTGCACTGGCTGTGCAGAAGATCATCAAGAGAGACGGTCTAGTCGAGCGGTGCAGAGACAGGGGTCTGTTTCTCGAGAGGGAACTACGTGAGGCTTTAGAGGGTAGGAAATACGTAGGCGATGTCCGGGGCCGGGGCCTCTTTTGGGGCATCGAGTTTGTGCAGAACAAAGAAACGAAGAGGAGCTTTGAGCCGAAGACCGAATTTGGGTATAGGGTGCAGAGGAAGGCTTTTGATCTAGGAGTTGCTCTCTATCCTGGGGCAGCAACTGTCGACGGGGTCAGGGGTGATCATGTGTTGATTGCTCCGCCTTATACTGTCACAGAAGCAGAGTTGAAGACGATTGTGCAGGTTTTAAGGGAGGCTTATGATGCTGTAGAGCGGGGTGTCGATGAAGTAAATTGACATAGGAATTGGGAAAGTTGTTGAGAAGATGTTGGATGAAGGGGGGTTCTACCCGTGGACTTTGGATACGAGCGGTTTGTTACCTCCACGTCCTCTAAAGTACGCTCTCATACTCTTGAAATTTTTGTTGGTCAAAATTTGATCTTACGAGAATAGGGAAAGATGCGATTACTATCCTCGGATTATATTCAAGGCGAATTGCCAACGTTGCAAATCCATGACCGTTTCAAATTCCTACATCAGATATATGCCCTTAATTTGATGAGCGGGTCTTCGCCCAAATCTTATCACTCGAGCGTATGGCATCAAGAGGAATCAGTCCTTGTGAGGCTTCGGAGCCTTGCTCCTCGGCACAGTGTCCAAACCGCCCGAAGACTTCACGAAGAAAATATCGCCCGGACCCATCCTGGAATTGTACTTGGGGCCACCTCCATACTCGAAAACGAAATTGAGTGGGAATCCGTGGTCAAAGGGCGCAGCGCCGTCAATCTCATCGATCTCTTCATCGCTCAGTTCGATACCCAACGCCTCGATGTTGCTCTTCAGATGCTCTATCTTGCGCCCACCGACGATCGGGAAGACATACGGCGACTTGTGCCTCACGTACGCCAATGCGATGCTGGTGATCAGGGTTCCCTTTTCCTTTGCGAGTTTGTCGAGAGCTGCGGAGACTTTCTTCCCATTTTCGGATTGGCCAACCTTGCGACCTTCCTCCTTCTTCTCGTAATCTTCCGGGCTCATGAACGCGCCTCGGCCGAGTGCGCCCCACGGGGCCAAAGCCATCCCTTCGGACTCGCACATGGGGATGATGTCGCGCTCAAAGTCGCGCACTGCAGCGTTCCATAGGCCCTGGTAGACGCTGAACTGGGTAAGACCTTGCTGGCGGGCATACTCGTTCGCTTTGCTGACGATCCAAGCGGGTGTGTCGCTGATCCCCAGGTAGAGCACTTTCCCGGAAGCCACGACGTGATGCAGCGCTTTCATGATCTCGGGGATCGAAGTGGTAAAATCCCACCAGTGAATGTACAGTAAGTCGATGTAACTCGTCCGAAGCTTCTTCAAGCTAGCCTCAAGGGAGACGCGCAGGCTCTTGGAGGAGTTACCTAGGTAGTTCGATTTTATCGTCACGGGCTCGGACGGATAAGGGGACGTGAATTTGGTCGCGAGGACGATCTGGTCGCGGTTCCGCCGCGACTCCATCCACTCCCCGAGCCACTTCTCGGTCTCCTCGCCTTGGTAGTTGTTGGCCGTGTCGATGAAATTGCCCCCGTTGTCGAAAAAGTGGTCGAGCATGCCGAACGAGGTTTCCTTGTCGCACTCGCCCAGGAAGCCCGACCAGGCCTCGCCGAAGTTCATGGCCCCGAGACATAACGGGGATACCCGCACACCTGCCGTGGGAGCGAGGATGCGTTGGTGGCCGAGGAGGCTCTTGGGTTTGGGGGCCGGTTGGTGAGCTAGGGTCGCTGCCATTTTTGTCTTGGATGTTTGACTGGTATGGATTTGCGGGGAATTTCCCCACGGGAAGGGGCAGCGCTTCTTTTCTACTTTCGTTCGTTGACCGAATTTCTTGGCATTGATTGCTCGATACTCGTATCTACTCGCCCTTAAATCCGATAAATCCGGCGTAACATCGAAATGCCTAAGTTCTATGAGAACTCGATATATTGATATCAAATGACTCGTAAATGTTCGCAAAATTTATTGTGTGAATATAGTTAGTATAGAAAAGAGAGTTTCAGGTAGAAGGAGTGGATTAGGTGGGTTTTAGGGCATGTCACGCCGAAAACTCACCCGGAACCCACCGCAATCCGCGGATTATGAGGTTTCGGATTTATCGGATTTTAGAGCGTATATCCGGGTAGATATGAGTAAGCGTATACATATCTTGACATTGATGCTCACGCTTATCAAGCAACCCTCTCGAGCCTCTATCATACAATATCACTAACACCATTCACGCGATCGGATTTCACGCTTATACCGGACATACCAAACGCACAAAAAGTTGTTGAGAAGAGACCGAGAATGCGCGTGGAGCTCGTGAATACGAATGTGGTTTACTCCAGCCTTTACGGGTAGCGTGTCTTGGCTTTGGCTCCTGTATCTTCACTACTCGCTGCTGTGCATCTGATGGGCCCCGTCGACGTCGCACCTGCTTGGGGAGCGCCTACCGCTTGCCCTCCGACCTCTTCTTCACTGCCAGAGACCTCTGCTGGTGCCTTGGTCGCCGAGGCCGACTGTCTGATCAACGAAGCATACACGCTTTCATGGTGCGCCCGAACGAGAGGCGCTCGATCGACGAAGAGGGAAAGTGACAGGGCCGCGTGATGGGCCTCGACGACGTTGTCGGTTGTGAGGCATTGCTATACAGTCCACATAGGATAATATGCTAGTCTGGAGGTTTGTATAACTTCAAAGACAGTTGGGTTACTAGAGGATCGGTGACGGCCGGTGGACTCGTAGGAATGTGTATGGAACGGGGGATATGCGAAGATGCCGAGCTTCGAATTCAAATTTGCACAGCCCAAATGCTTGCCGGTCTTGAGGATGTACCAGCGCCATTTGAGGCCTCATTCTCGCAGTCAGAATACCGCAAAGATGCCTTCGGCCGATTTAAATGTCTCTCATTTGTTACAAGGGTCACAAGCTTCTCGATCAGAGTCGGTTATTATAGTCGCCTTGCATAGCAACGTTCATGTGCCCGGCCACCTCACTCAGTGAGCGGTAGGTTCTCGCGGGAAAAGCATCTCTCTGTCTGTTGATTGCTGTGTTGCGTACTATCACCACTGTTCCGGATCGAGGTGTAATGACAAGCGGAAGAAGCTGGCTGCGCAAGATGAGTGTTATGGCGAGCAGATTTGTTTTCCATTGGCTTGCCGACAAGTTTAAGCCTTCTCCCCAGAATGATGTCCTTCGCACCAGGAAGGAGTGGTGCGCTTCTTTGGGTCCAGAGATTTTATGGCCACAATGGCTGAAGCCGCGCCATCTCGCCTTGGATGGTTACTGTCCGGGGGTCGGATCGAGGTGCTGGACGACTCAGTGTACTGAGACTCTCGCGGATTCGATTGTTGATGCCCTTGTGTCAACTCTTCCTCCCCAGGCATGAACGGCTTGGACTGAACCGGGTAGTCTGCAGATTTCCTAGTCCCGAACCTCATTTATGTGAGTCCTTCAACGGTTTCCTGTAATACTGTGGTAGTGCATTCGGCACCACTACCATTCATCCCGCCAACCAGCTTGCATGTTTTTCATGACGATTGAGGTCGTATGCCTGCCTCTGTCTCAGCGGTTTAGGTGAGCTTATGAAGCAACAAACTATGCTTATGTAAAACAGCCTTTGGCTGGATGGTCGCAAGCAACAGTACTCTACAGTGAACGCCTGATCTTGTATGCCACTGCATAAGTGTTCCACCGCTTCACGCCCAGCTGATGCTGGAAGGTCATCCACAAGCGACAACGAACCTCATTTGGCTCCATCCTTCTGACTAGCCTTGTTGCACATTACACTCCTTTTCAAAGACGGCTCATAACGTTGCATCCCCACTCATCTCATCCTTCCGCGCCTTCTCATCCCTTTCAAACGCCAAATATTCTTTCTGCAGACCCGTCAACGTATGCAGATTTCTCCAGAACTGTTCTTCATTTTCTCTGTTTTGCAAAGGTTGCCGGCTGCCTATTCTGGGGTCGTCCTGACAAGGGCATCTTCCTGGTATTTCTCTCATTCGACCGCCTCCGTCGTCTACGTGGGCGTATCTTGTCAGCCAGGAGAGGAGAGAAAGAGGAGATAAAGAAGGGGGTGGAGGAGGGTATTTGACCTTCTTTGATATACCGGATGTGGAGACCGCGCTCCTTGGGTGGGTCACGGGCGTAGGAATAGAAGGTGTGCTCTTATGGCATCGAAATTTGTTTAGCGATGGAGTGTTAAAAGAGGAGGCCTCGGGATTCGAGGGGAGGTTGGCGGATGTTTTGTGGGGTGAAAGTGGGGAAAAGGCCGTTTCGCCTCATGTTTGTCAAACGCAGCTGGCTGCCCCGCTCGATAGGTCACGGGACGCAATGCCAGCTGTTCTCGATGTCTCCAGCGATCACGTCTTCTCGGATATCGTACGTGTTCAATTCCGTGCGGTTGATAAAAAAAAAAAACCCCGAAAAATTTTTTCCCCTAAAACAAAAGGGCTAAAAGAAAAACACCCCTTTTTGCCCCTCTTTAAAAAAAAAAAAAAAAAAAAAAAAAAAAAAAATACTTTTAAAAAAACCCTTTATAACAATAAAAAAAAAAAAAATAAAAAAAAAAAAAAAAAAAAAAAAAAATTAGGAGAGATCAAGGATCCAGATCTCCCTTGCCTACCAACACACATAGCGTTAATTGCATAACCGCCCGCCCAAAGATCGAACAATCGAGCCTTGAAAGGATACCGATCGACATCGACAATGACTTCGACCGAGTCGTCCTCCATTTCAAATTAGTCCCGTGAACACTGCAGATAGAATGACGAAAGCATTGATCGTGGCAGTGGATAGTGTGTTCGAAAAAAGTGTGAGCTTAAGTGCAGATTCCCGTGTGAACACATCTTGAATCATCTGTGTTCCGGCTAGACCGACGACGCGGATGTCACTGTCTACCCTACGCCATATCTTCGTGTTTCGGTGAACGGCTCCAAAGCAGGAAATTCCTGGCTTCAAGCGCGGAAATTCAAAGATACATCCTTACCAACACCACTGAGATACCCACCTCTATCATCGAAGACACAGGCATTGCTTACTCGTGATGCCGCCCGTGACATATCTAGACCGGTGGTGATGTCAAAAGTCGTGCTGTTTTTGTGGAGAACACCGATGACGTAAGTTTTGTCAGGTATATGCACGCATCAGACACATCGCAGATGCAGGACTCCGAGGCTGACGGGGTGAGTTTGACTGCACTTACAGCTATTCCGATGACGCGGAAGCTGTACGTCATGTGGCTCACTTGGAAGCAACTTTTTTCCCTAAATGGAGCCCTGTACTCCAGATGGTGACCATGATGGCAGCGTAAGTCTGGGTCAAACAGATGCTTCAGAGCGATTGAAATCTCAGCTTGACATGGTTTTCATTTTAACTCTCCCTACGCGTTTCCACCTCATCCGGCCGCGAAGCAACCGGCATCATATTGACTTCTGCCTCCAACTCAGCCTTCTCGTCTGTCGTGAGGTCACTCTTGGCCTTGTCGATCTTGACAAAGCCCACTAGCAGAAGCAAAGACACCCCCGCACAGCCAACACCAAACCAACACGCCACCTTGTAGCTTTCCTTGAGCCCAAGATGGGATGTAGCAGTGGCAACAATATCAGCGAACCCGAGAAAGACGCTGATGCCCAGGAAGACGAGGCAATTAATCAAAGCGCCTGCAAGACCCTGTCTCTTCCTAGGCATGCTTGTCGTTATGAAGATGTTGCTGACGCTGTAGGTTATGTCGACGCCCACGGTTGCGCCGATCATGGCGGGAAAGATGTAGGCCCAGTAGTTGGGGTTCTCGGGCATTATGGCGAACATCAGGACACAAACAACGTAGCCAGTGGCTGAGATTATCATCAGGGCTGTTCCTGGTAGTAGATGAAGCAGAAAGCCGCCCGCCGTTGCGAGGAAGATGCCGCCTGCAGCCATTGGCGTATACCATGCCGTTGTCTGTAAGGAAGTCGCATGCAATACTTTCTCAATACTAGACTTGGGGTCAGCGTAGGAACTAGCCGGGGGTTGATGAGTACACACTAGAAGCTAGCATAGAAGAGGTATATTCCAAATACGCCGTATGAGAAGAACAGCGCAACCACAAGCGCCTTCATATGCTTGACCTTGAATAGATCGAAAGGTAATAGAGGCATTTTTGCAATCCACCCCTCAACGTAAATGGCTCCACCTAGTAACAGACAGCCCAAGACAAAGGTCACGTAAATGTAAGGTGTGTTCCAACCATCAGGAGCATGTGAGCTATCAGTAATAGCGAAGACAACCAACAACAGCCCTGGGACGATCGTAAAGACTCCCAGCCAGTCCATTTTGACTTCATAAGCCTGCCTCTCATAACGATCGGACGGTATCGTTAAAAAGGCAATGGAGCTAATCAGAAACAGTAATATCGATCCAATCCAAAAATACCAACCCCAAGGTAGATACTGTCCACTCAGTCCACCAAAGAAAATACCTGTGAAAAAGCCTATTGGCGAACAAGCCCCATAAAGACTGAACACCAGGTTTTTCCTCGGCCCTGGGCGATAGATGCTTCCTAGCAGCATGACCCCAGCAGGTAAAAACGCAGCAGGTCCAAGACCCTGAAGTGCGCGGCAGAAGTTTAGCATGAGGTAATTGCGGCTGAAGCCTCCTATCAAAGACCAAAGGAAGAACCAGATCATCCCGAACATGAAGACGGTGCAGCCACCGTAGATGTCGGCGAGGCGGCCGAAGGGAAGTAAGAAAGCCCCCGTGATCAGAGAGAATACGTTCGCGGGCCACGTTTGTGATTGGGCAGGGATGTCGAGAGCGGTTGCCAGGGTCGGTAGGATCACGTTGAAACCACTGACGAAATATTCCTACCGACATGGTGAGTGGCGGGTGTTGACATAGACTTGGGCCAGGAATACTACTTACTGCCATAATCATGGATGCCAACAGTGAGAAGCAAAAGCCAAACTCTGTCCATACGGTTTTGAACTTGGCAGGTCTTTGCCTGCCAAGCCGCTCGATGCGGGCTTGCATGCCTTCCCCTTCTTCAACCCCTGCTGGATCCTTCGGTGGGCTAACACTGAATGCTACCTCGCTGGGTGCGGTCATTGCACCCGTATTTGTCTAATAAGAGCGTCAAAAACGCAAATGTGGGGTAATGGGTACAATAAAACTTGAGTGTGTCTATCGGACTCAAAGATAGACTGCTCTCGGTGACAGACTGATAGAAGGATGGAAGAGGCAAGAGATTAAGCGAGGTTAGGACCACCCGCCGGCAAATTGACGCCTTTTTTATGACAAAAGCGCTCTAAAACCCACCAATCGGTGTAGGTATGATGATTTCGGTAATCAGCCGACGTAAAAACCTCGAAAAGAGTTTTTTCATCTTCTAGCAAGCATTTCAAGACCGAACGCCATGTTATTGGTATTGAACCACTGACACACGTACTACCAGGAAGGTGAAATGGCGTAAGTGTTTGGAGCGTGTCATGTTCATCATTCTCAAGACTTGCAAAACCTTGCAATTTTCTTGGCTAGCAAAAGGCCGAGCTAACTGTAAATGGATAAACTTTCCGGCGAATGATGATCATGATTGTCTTAATGAGGGGGGAAATCGTAGAAGAATGTGTTTCCTATGCGACTGGACATTATATTCATAGAATACGGTCTACTTCAGGAGATCACTGTTAACTCGGTTTAGGGTACTGTTGCCAAGCAATGTCACGTGCTGGCATTTCGCCGCTAGTGCGCCAAACGCGTCTATGATTCTTGACGCACAATCGTCCCACCAGTCTTTCTCTATCACCACACGTTCCTCAGCTCCCTCAAAGCTTCTATGGTCTTAATGCCTGGCATGACACAATCTGAGTTTTCGATCTTAGACTCACTGACTAGTCGTCAAAGCAGGAGAAGGTCGTAATGATTACTACGGCCCCAACACTCAGGGATACTGATTTCAATCTGCAGCTAGCTCACGTCTTGCTGTATCCCTAGTCTATTGTGAAAGAGTTGAAACTCGAAGTATGCTATTCTAGCCGAAGCATAGTCGAGACCGCGCCAGTCACACCCTTTGGCAGCTTGTTCGACGTCCCAACAGACCAAAATCTCCAGTCTCCCTCCTGGCGAGGGAAATTTGATTAAGCTCCTGTGAGTAAACATGGCACGACCAAAGACCAAGAAAGCTCAGAAGACTATCAACGACTCAGCTCCCCTGCCCACAGCTCCAACTGAGTAAGTCTTCTATTTGAATTTCTTAACCCTTCCGGAGGGCTTCTTCAACGCTCCGAGCGTTCCATACATCGTAGTCGTGCAAATGTTGTCAAACCGCTGTCATCTAGAATCAATGAACTTACCCATCATTAGGTCTGAACTTCCAAGGTTCCCTCTCAACCGTATGCCGGTGGAACTAGTTCACATGATCTTTAGCTACCTCACACCGACTCAAGTAGCTAGTATACGATTTATGAGCAAGATGCTAGCTGCAATCGGCCTCGAGTACATCGCTACAACGGTCACACTCACACTCAAAGAGGACAGCTTCGACCGACTACTGGAGATAGCTTACCATCCTGTCATCAACAAGTTTGTGCACAGCCTGCATTACGAGCACGACTTCTTTACGGATTTAGAACGAACAGAATGGGAGCGTAACATCAAAACGCCAGAATTTATGGCCGTTCGAAAACGGTGTTCCGGCATTCCAGTTCCCACCTTCAATGCTAGCCAACGGGCCTGGCGAGCTTATCATCGCGGGTGTGGTGCTATCAAAGCTTGTAACACGTACGGCAAAAAACGACTAGATCAGGCTTTCTCGACCTATCAAAACTATTGCGCAGAACAGGACCGCGCTTCGCGATCGGACTTTTTTCTAGCAAATTGACGGATGCACTTCAGCATCTTCCAAACTTGAGAACAATCTACATGCCAAAGCACGGCAATTATTCCCGCTATCAAAAAGAAATTGCCCAACTTCTCAATGGCGCCTTTTACGATCAGCCATCCATTGAATCGGATAGTGTTGCTGTTACTCGCTCACTACTGCTTGCGGTGGATGAAGCCATTCACGGAGGTCAAAACGTGAACACTCAAGCCGGCAGCGCTGGTAGTGAACCTGCTCGGAAGGCAAGTAGCCGGGATTCACGCAATGCCAATTACAACGCTCCGACAGCCAGCAACCAGGTCAGTGCTAGTCTAGGTGGCAGGACACCGAATGGCGGCTATCTACGAGGAAATGATTCAGAAGGCAGCAACCAGCGTGTTCTTCGAGTCGGTAACTTTATCTTTGGGTCCTTCAATTGGAGACTCCTCTTGGAGGGCGATAAGGTCTTTGTAGCCATGAAGAGAAGCATATCTCACCTCACCAAACTCGGCATACATCTTCTCGACGATTGTTGGATCAAAGAGACCAGGCCACATTTCGCATCCCTAAGCGACATGGAAGCTCAAAGACAATGTTTGATCAAAGGACGTTTCCCCGAATTTATGAATTCGGCGCCTGGTCTCGAAGGGCTAAGCATCTCCACCGGTCCAAACAATTTTTGCCGTCTAATGGTTGTCGTCGGCCTTTGCCACTGGCCTTTCTTGAAGACGGTTCGCTTTCAAGGTTTCAGAGTCGGTATTCATAGCCTAGAGGGATTCTGTTCGAGACACTCTTCCACGCTTTCCAACCTCTCACTAGGGGATCTTGAAGTGGATGAATCATCGTCACATCCAGGAAAAGCCTCTTCCTACACAGTGTTTACCACGATTCGTGAGACCACGAAGCTAAAAGAAGCCAGCGTGTATGGGGTCTTCGATCTAATATCGCAGCTCTGGAACATGGATGACCATAGAGATGTCCGTCGCGCAAGTGGGACGCTGATCGGACGATACCTCGTGGGTGAAGGGGGCGATAGCAGCCTCGAGGATTACTTGAAGGAGGAGCGCTCAAGGATTGCCGAGCAGGAAGGGGAATCTTTAGTCAGCGACATCGACGCGTCACATATGAACGTGTGGACAAGTGAGAGTGAGGATTCTTTGAGCGAAAGCGACGGCTACGTAGGAACGGGAGCTCGATTATGGCCATGACCATGGCGGGCCTGACTATGGGTATCCAGATAGTCTGAGCGCGGCCGGGTGTCTACTGTTGTACAAAAAGGTCGCAAAGCATACATAGCTGAAAAAACCACGCCTTTCCGTGGCTTCAACGGAGCATTACTCAATCCAGCCTTCAGGTTTACAAAACAACCTCTGTGCACTTGGCGACTGGGTTTCCTTGAGATACTGCTACACGTTGTTTTTTGACCAAAGCATCTCCTACTCTTTTCACCATTATAGATCGACAGACCCATGCGACAGGGAACGGTCAAAGCAGTATTATCCAACATGGCGGATAGCTTTTTCGAGTCTAGGTTCAACGCTAAGAAGGACAGGGGCTTTCAAAGGCGCGATTCCCACGCGCCGCTGAAAATTCGACGTGTCAAACATTCCTCGCCCATCCTTCGACGAACATTCAGCTTCGCCAATGGACCTTCAAACTCTTTCCTCTGTACTACCGCCTCCCAGGCCCAGCCTCCTCGGCTTGCCACTCGAGCTCCGTAACGAAATCTACCGCAACCTCCTCTCCACCGGCCGCAATCGAATCGATCTCGGTCTCGGCCGCGCCCGTTACAGCCTCCAAACGGCCGTCTTGGCCACCAATCGCCAAATCCACGACGAAGCCACCGCAGTCCTGCGCGAGAACAGGTTCATCAACATCGTCACGTCATGGACGTCCTTCAAACAGGACATCCTCGTGCAAGGCAAATTCCCCATCATCGCCGAAGGCGACGACAGATCCCCGTCCCCGGAGTCCCACATGCTCGTGGCACTGGACTTCATGGGCGACGTGGACACCTCGCGCCTGTACGCCTACGTCACCTGCCTGGCCGATCTGCCCCATCTCTGCCGACTGCTCTTCTACGCCAGCAGTCTGAGCCCGAACTTCAGCAGCTTGCTGCACGTCACGCTCGCGATCCGGGACCCGCAGGGGCGGGCGGAGAAGACGGTCGTCCCGAAGGCGCTGCAGGAGGCGCTGATGATGCCGTTTGCGGTTTTGAAGGGCCTGCACGGTTTGACGATCAAAGGGGCCAGGAACAAGGCGGTGGAGAAAGAGCTGAGGAAGGCGATGGGCGTCCCTAATCCCACGGCGGCTGATTACCTTGAGGCGGCGGCAGGGCTCAAAGATGCCGGTAATGCTGCCTTCAAGGCGGGGGACTACGCGCTGAGCATTCGAATCTACATCCAGGCTTACGAAGCGATGCATTTCATCGTGGAAGGCAAACGCTTTGCCATCATGCTGGACGGCTACTTCGCCTCTAACCCGCTGACCGGAGGCCGCTTCGACGGCCAGCGCGGCGACTTGGTCCGCCACCACCTAGGCTCGCAGCTAAGCTGGAACATCCTGGCCGCGTACCTGAAGACGGAAGATTGGGAGCAGGCGTACTTCTGGGGCGAGAGAGCCATTTCGGACATCGAGTATGCGGACGTGCAGCAGAGCATACTGGATGGGACGCCGAATCTTGTCACCGGTGCCGAAAAAGCAAAGGTCTATTGGAGGATGGCGGTGGCGAGTCAGGCGTTGGATAGGAAGCAGGTCTGGGCTAGGAGTCTGATGAAGGCGTACATGTTTGCGCCGCAGGACAAGATCATCGGGCGCGAGATGGAGGCGTTGGAGAAACGGTTGCAAAGGCAGGAGTTGGATCTTCAAGACCTTAAATCTTGAAAGGGATACATGGCGCCTCTCGCTTCCTATCTTGAGCAGTGTCATTGCTTCGCGAATTCAACGCAACGAACGGAACTGTTTCAGAGCTATCACGAGTGTCTCGTTCGGATTCACAATCGCATTGAAATATAGTGAGGATGGGGGGTTTAAATGTATGCTTGCTGCTGGCCTGCGTTAAATATAGAAGGTTAAACATCACCGCAATTGATCAAAATGTGATACCGTCATACTCCGTAATGTGCGCGAGAAGACTTGTCATTGATGCGGGTCGAAGCCAGATTGTACGTCTCGATCACTTGGATACACTAGCGAGTCAAATCGCGATGGGTGTGAGCGGTTGGGTCTCGTTTATGAAGTCGGCATTGAACTAAAGCTACTTTTATAATCCAACGCGCGCGTACAATTTTTAAGGAAAAGTTTATTGTGAGCGCCGGCAGTGTCGTTGAGTGCGTCAATCCCTGCGCTACTCGCATCGATGCGTGAAGTTATTGCGCCGCGATCTGGTCATGCACGGTGATAATTATAAGAATGGCCGGTGAGAGTCTTGGACCCAGGGGACGTTCTCGGGGCCTTAAGGATCGAATCGGGGTTTCTGGGCCGCGCTGGATGCTGTCACATATTCAGCTGCCGTCGCACCCATCATCTTCGAATGTTGGATCCGTGGGGAAGTCCTCGCTGGGAGGAAGGTTTCTTCGCGCGGACGGTCCGGTTCATTGATCTGAACCCGGCACCAGGCTCCTGACTTCTGCATCCATCCATTAGGTAGAGCAGGGTTTGTATTAGAGTTGAAGCAGCTGGCAGGTCAGGTAAGGTAGAGGGATAATTTTGAAAGACAGCGACGGGGAACCTGCAAATGTTTACTGTAATATTTTTTCGGAAGATTATATCAAGCTGAGTACGACACCATTGTAGGTACATGACGCTGAGTATAAGAATAAAAGCCAGGGACTGTCAACTCGCTCCGATGTCAAGGCCCCGCAGCATCCACGTAGGATCTGGCGATGGGTGAATGTGAGAGCTTGGTCCATCTAAAGATGTCAGACCAATGTTTTCCACTCTGGCTTAGCCTTGGCTTGTGAAAGGGATCGTATGCTTTGAAGTGAGTCCGAGGGGTCGCAGCTAGGGCATGTAACACCAAGCTCGAGTTGGAGTTGAGGTAGAAGCGTCGGAGTATGTTCAAGGAAGTCGTGCTTGGCCTTGAGTCTGATCCCAAAGGGATAGGGTATTGAACTGCACGGCTAGCAGCCAATTTCGGGGAAGTGCCGCCGCCGACTGGGTGTAGGTAAGGCCCTGAAGGGCATAAAGCCCCTTCATCCTCTCACGCACCGTGAACTACTTCGCTTCCCAATCTTCACCCATTGTTATCTCTGTAGAAGGCCTCCATGTCGCTATGCACCTTCAACCACATATCCCCAATGATGTTCTGCCCCTCCGCCTCAACCCTATTGTAGTCCATCCAATACTTTTCATGCAACGCCGCAGCGCCCATCGCATACTCCTTGATCGACGGATACGTCGAGGTCCACTTGTAATACACATTCGTCCACGGCATAGGCCCGTCCCACCGATGTGCATAATTCAGCAAATTCTGATCCGGGAAGTTAGGGTCGAAAGAGTTCTCTCGTTCCATGATAGACGTGTAGTATTCAAAGATTTCCTGCGAAGGCTTGAAGACCATGAAACCGGAGCACATCCATTCGAGCGAAGGGTCGGGCGGGTATTTGTGCACACGGTCGGTTTGCTGGGCTTGCCCTGCTAACATGAAGGAAGAGGGCAGCGGCGCTGCCTCTTTCTTGTTGTCCACTTCCTTCTTCGGTCGCTGAATTCTTGTGCCTTCGTCCTCAAAAATCGCGTCCAGGCGCCGCGTGATGAACATGTCTGCGTCCATGTATAGCATCTTCTCGTATTCGGTCTGCTGAAAGACTCGCAGTTTTGTCATTATGCCCTGGTATTGTCGTTTTGTGTCAAGCCATTCCGGATCGCTAATGCCGTCCACCACCACAACTTTTGCACCATCCTTTTCAAGTCTTGCGCGCTTTGATTGGGAAACTTCACTGGAGGCGACGACGATGAATGGGATGGATGTGTTTGATCGAGTCTCAGGCTGATGCATAAGTTGATAGCCGAGAACGCGCGTGGCTGGTTAAAGTTAGTGGTTTAAGAAGATTAAGTTGTTCGGTCGGTGCGACACACCCACGAAATAATCGTCCTCATCATCCGTGGTCATTCCTTGTGCTTCGTCGCCGCGGTTCGTGCCAGTGTGGGCCTCGAGGAAAGCAACGAACGCTCTTCTGGGCTCGTTCGGTACTGCCGGAGCAGAGGACATGGCGACATCGACTGCTGAGGTCTCGGCTATTGCAGATGGAGAGCCATTGTCCGCAGTAATCTTTCCTGTTTCTTGCTCGTTCCCAGGTGTAGATATGGTAGCATCGGATGTGGGCTTGTCACCAGAAAGTTGTACGAGCGAGCCATTTGAGGCTGCTGTGGCATCTCGAGGATTATAGAGCGTGAGAAGTATGATGAAGATCACTGCAAGAATGGCGCCGGTAGTGAGAATGCGGTGCGAAGTCAGTTGGGATACCGGCGACAGCATGGTGCGTGGAGACAGCAACCTCGGAGTACATGCTGGTGGATGGTATGCTCTACACATACAACGTCAGCCCCGTAGCCTATGTCGGCTTCCATGTCCAGGAGCGTCGCAAGTATCGTGTTGGCCCCTGAAATTAGTCGGTAGGGCGGTGAGGGGTGTCCAACAGTTTCAACGATGCTGGGATTCCCCATGAGCGGCAAAGCCGCGAAAACCGTAATGAAACGCCCAGCTATTTTCCGACTTCTACAGAATAAGGGCCTCGAGCGTTTCGCCGAGAGCGTTGGTTTCGCTGCCGCCAGGATCGAGACTTCACACGAGAGTGTTGCGGAAATCAAAGTACCAAGGGCTATTCGTGTCGTATTTCGACTCGTATCAAATCTGGTGGGTAGATGAAAGTCCACCATGCAATGGGCGAATGCTTAACGCCGATGTATGTGTACACGAATGCCCGTATCCAAACAAAAATAAAAGCCGTAGTAGCATCGAATGTCTGTGATAGACTGAGTGTGACAGGAACCTGTAACACTCATCGACTCCATTCTGCATCCTTCCTCTATCACTGGCGGACTGCCACGTTTTCTGACCATGGTAGCCATCTGCGCATGCAAGGGACCATGTTAGCCTTCCGAACCGCAGGCACTGCCGTCGAGTGCTGAAATGGGAGGGGCCGAGGCTCTCGGGGTCATATTGTTGTATGGGTTTTGCTGATGATGGTCGTTGCCCTCTGCTCATTCTTTGGCGTGCTCGATTGCTTTTTTCAATGATATCCCTGCTGCTGGTCCTCGGCTTGCTTGTCTCCTTGTCCAGCCTTTTGCTGCTGCTCTTTGGCCTGCTTTGTCTCCTTTGCCTGCTGCTCCTTTTTCTCTTTCTCCTCCTGCTGCTTCTTTTCCTCCTCTTCTTTCTGCTTCTTCTTCTCCTCTTTGGCTTTCGCTTGCTCTTTCTGTTGCGCCTCATGTCTCTCGGCCTCCGCCTTGGCATTGGACGCTCTGCTCAGCGCAGCATCAACCAAGAGCGTAGCTTCCTTCAATTCCTTTTGCTGAAATGGTTCCTCGTAGACCAAACGCTCGAGTCTCCTAGAAGTCTCTTTCAATTCGTCGCCCAGCTCTGGATGCTTGTTGAAGACCTGCTGCACGACGATGTCTGCCGTCGTATACTCCGTTGCGTTGTGCAAAGCCTGCTTTGCGGTCCTTAGGTTTGCCCAGAAGCCTTTGATGTTGCTGTGTAGTGTCAAGTTGGCAAGCGGTATGTTGACCTTCTCTGGCTCGTTCTCCACGATATCCAGCCAATGTCCCATCAGTGGGTATTTGTGCTCGACGCCAGGAAAATGGATCAACATGTCTCCCATTTTTGTCTCCGGTTCTTTATCCGGCCCCTGAGCGAAAGTATTGTACCACAGTCGAGGCTGATAGACTGCATGTTCTTTGTAGCCTTCCTGATCCAGCACCCATCTCATTGCGTCTTGTTCCATGTTAGGTATGGGGACTCCGAGAGGTACGTCAGGCCTTAGGAGCGGAAGTGCTGTGGCTTGAATGAGGAAGTTGACGCTCCATTCGTTGATGCGCATCATGAAGAGGCCGCAGTTGAAGCTGTGCCAATCTTTGTTGCCAAGGAAGTGGATGTCATTGAAATCTTCTCGTGGGGGCAGGAATATGGACCAGGGAATGTTCTCGTTGAGAATGATGGTGTCAGCGTCGAACCATCTGCATCATCGTGTTAACGTTTCTTCAAGCCAACTGAAAAATGTGCCTCCTCTACATACACAATCCATTCGGCCCGCTTGCCAATGGGTTTTGTCAATTCCGCTATGATAATTGATTGCAGGTAGAGTAGCTTTCCAAACACCTACAAGACCACTCATCAGTTTTCCAGCGTCCATGTTATATGGAGGATCTCGTATGGGATCGTACCAGCACCTCCCATTTGCCGTGCCCAATTATGTCTTCTCTCAAAATATGACTCGGATATCCCCACTTTTCCGCATGCTTGAGGTGCGTCCTCACAGATCGCTCGTACACCGCGTTCGCTCCCATCTGATGGGCGGTATCCTCGCTGCTGAATAACATGCACGCTTGACGTATTCTTGCGCCACCTTCGAGGGTGCTGTCGAAGATGTCACGTTGGTCGGCCAAGTCCTTGGTATCTTCTATCGCTAGGGCGATTGAGGACCAGGGATTCGATGGCTTGGAGGGTGGAACTGTGGAAGATGAGTCCCAGGAAGTCGGTGTGTGGAAGAAGAAGAAAAAGAAGAAGATTGGTATTGCACAGAACATGAGGGCGGCCAAGTGCTTCGGCGACGTGCCGAGCATACCGGCACCCAACATCTGGGGCAGAGACGGCAGCGCGATCCTGAACGAGAGAATATTCGCAAAGAAGGAGTAGAGGATGAAAGAGTGTCTGCGCGCCGTCGTCG